ATGGACCCAGGACTGCTTCTAGAGTATGAGGGTAAAAGAATGACCTCTAAAGATGTGAGATCAAAGCACATGAGTATGTTGATGAGAGACTAGATCAAATGTAGAGGAGATACTTCAGCTGAGAAAGGGATGGGAACAGAAAGTATGTGATATCTACCTATAGGAGGTGAGAGAGGATGGACAATGGGGCAACAGCATGTGCTAATCTTCGGTAGGGTCTGAGAAAGTTTATCCATTGTCTCTGTGCTAGAGCAGGTAGTAGAGACATACACTGGCAGTGAGTAGATTTGACAGTGGAGGATGATGTGTTTCTCAGTTGATCATACCTGTTTCCTCAGTGAGGCAAAGTTATCAGCCATGATATTTGAAGTTTGAAGGGAGGATAAGGTGTGAAAGAGTGTGATTGTAGCAATTCACCAGAGGTTCTTAGTGTTAGGAATATAACACCAGCCTGTTCTATAGAGCAATAACTCCAAATGATATTCCTCTTGAAAAGCAACTGGGAAGTAGGTTGGTCTACAGTTCAGTGATGCAAGACAAGCAATGGCACCATAGAGAAAGAGAAGCAAGCAACTAAGGGTGTTAGTAAATGCATATATTTATTTGTATATGTATATATGAAGGCTTCACAGAACTAGGCAAACAGAAAAATGGGAGCATGGGGTGAATATATAGGAAAGAATAAACAAGCGTGTGTGTGTGTGTGTGTGTGTGTGTGTGTGTGTGTGTGTGTGTGTGTATTTCTGTTTGGTCATGTAAATGCATGTGCTAAGTGGTATGAACGGTGGGAATGGAGGTTGGATCAATGTAGACCTGCCAATAGCCACAATGAGTGCTGGTCATAGTGGGAATGTGGACACTTGTGGCATTGCTACTTCAAGCCTGTTGCCCAATGTGATGTGGACTCTGGAGATAAGAATGCTTTGTCTGGTTTCTTGAGTTCTTTATATATTTTGGATATTAGCCCTCTGTCATATGTGGAGTTGGTGAAAATCTTTTCCTGTTCTGTGGGCTGACAGTTTGTCCTATTGACGGTGTCCTTTGCTATATAGAAGCTTTTCAGTTTCATGAGGTCCCATTTATTAATTGTTGATCTTAGTGCCTGTGCTACTGGTGTTCTATTCAGGAAGTTGTCTCCTGTGCCAATGCATTCAAGGCTATTCTCCACTTTCTCTTCTATCAGGTTCAGTGTATCTGGTTTTAAATTGAGGTCTCTGGGGGCATCTCTGGGATGAACTAGGAACCTAGAGCAATAGAAACTCCAAGGAATCAATGAGGGTGACCCTAGCTAAGACTCCTAATAATAAGGAATATAGGGCCTGAACTGGCCATCTCCTATAACAAGGTAAGACTTCCAGGGGAGGGACTGGGACACCAATTCAACCACAAGCCCTTCAACCTACAATCTGTCCTGCCTACAAGATGTATATATAAAGATGATATACAGTATCCTGCCTATAAAGATGATGCAGAAATTGTGGGAGTGACCAAGTAATGACTGGGACAGCTGGAGACACATACCCTGAGAGGAAGCTTACCCCTGAGGGCCAGGACCCAGAGGCAGGATACCCCAAAGACCTAGGATAGAACCAAACACAAATGGCAAAAAAAAGTCAATGAAATGATTCCTAATGATATTCTGCTGTACTCATAGATTGGTGCCCAATTCACCAGTCATCAGAGAGGCTCTACCCAGCAACTGATGGGAACAGATGCAGACCCATAGCCAAACATTAGGCAGAGCTCAGGGAATCCTGCAGAAGAAGGGGAAGAAGGATTGTAGGAGCTAGTGGTGTCAAGGGCACCACAAGAAAACCCATAGAACTAACTAACCTGGGCTCATAGGGCTCACAGTGACTGAACCAACAACTAGGGAGCCTGCATGGGACTGACCTAGGCCCTCTGCATATATGTGACAGTTGTGTATATTGGTCTTCATGTGAGACTCCTAACCATGGGAGTAGGGGATGTCTCTGACTCTGTGTTCCCTGCTTTTGGGACCCTTTCCTCCTACCAGATTGCCTCATCCAACCTTAATCAAGGAGGAGGGGCCTAGTCTCACTGCAACTTGATATACCATGGCTGGCTGATGTCCATGGGAGGCCCGCCTGTATCTGAAGAGAAACAGTGGAGGCGGAGTGGACAGGACGGGGGTGGGGTGGGGGTGTGAGGGAGGAACTTGGAAGAGGGGAGGGAGGGGACACTTTGGTTGGAATGTAAAAACAAAACAAAACAAAACAAACAGAATACTTTGTCTGCTAACTAACTTTTCCCAAGCCTACCTTATTATTCATCCCTTTTATGAGGGAGGTTTTCTGTTTTTCCAAACATGTGCTGATTACCTTCTATAACACAGCTCTCCTAGTTGTAACCAGACTGTGTATTGCCTCAACCAGGACACTTGGGAGAGTCTAAAAGGCAAAGTCAGATGGGACTCAAGGACAACCAGAAGAAACCATTACTGTCCCAGGCAAACTATGATGAATATTGACAAATGACTGCATGTGTGACTTCTCTTCAGCCAATTTTTCTGTGAGAACAGTATAATTATCAACACACACACACACACACACACACACACACACACACACACACACACACACACACCACTGACCCATTGCATGAGCAGGATACTGTTGTGGAATAATAGTTTAAGATGTGTTAACATTCATTTATGCTGTGGAACATTTGTTTAATGATGCAAAGATGTGTTTCATTCCTTTATGTTGCATTTGTTTAACTCTGTGAAGCTGTGTTTCACTCTATTTTGCCTGCCTAAAACACCCAATGGTCTAATAAAGAGCCGAGTGGCCAATAGCTAGGCAGGGGAGAGGATAGGCATGGCTGTCAGGCAGAGAGAATAAATAGGAGGAGAAATCTAGAAGAGAAGAGCTAGGAGCGAGGAGTGAGAAAAAGAGGAGAGGAGGATGCCAGGGGCTAGCCACCCAGCCACTCAGCCAGCCATGGCATAAGAAAGAAAGAAAGTTATATAGAGTAAAAAAAGATAAAAAGCCCAAGGCAAAATGTAGAAGAAGAGAAACAGGATAATTTAAGTTAGAAAAGCTAGCTAGAAACAAGCCAAGCTAAGGCCGGGCATTTATAAGTAAGAACAAGTGTCTGTGTATTTATTTGGTAGCTGGTGGCAGGCCCCCAAAGAGTAAAAAAACAAAAAACACACAAAAAAAAAACAACAAAAAACTACAGGATACAAAGTGAAAGAATTTTAGACACAGCATTAAGCATGGAGATTGATCAAATTCAGAGAAATACCATTGTACTAATTGCATATATGTATTCACTTTTAGTAGCAAAAAGTTTCCTCAAAAAAGTTTTTTTTTTTCAAACAATGGATTTCTAGAACTTTGCAAAGATAGTACAGGGTACTCCCTGATCAATCTTTGCTCAGCTTCCTCTAAACTTACTTTGAATTTTTCAATGAAGTACACAGTTCTAAAGAGAACAAAGACAGAATGAATCTTTAAAAAATAAATGCTGTGACTGAGCATCTCCACCTCCCAGATGTTCTGTCTTTCTAAAGGAGAGACACTGTCTGTGCCCTATTAGCTAGTGAGCAGTTAAAATCCCACACTCGCAATGTTTTTAGCGATGTGGTCCCTTCATGTTCCATTTTCTTCTTTGTTGTAACTGAGCAGACAACCTTTGCTAAGTTCAGTCTGGTTGTCTACAGTCTACTAATTGTCAGTTACAAGGCCAGAAATATAGAAGAAGCATTCAAGAACATTTATGGCAACTTGACACTACTGCATCATCTGCTTTATATTTACAAAATGTTCCCCAGAGATTAGAAGGCAAGTTCCTTAGAGGCTTGGCAGACAAAAGAAACAGGAGAAGCAGGGATCTGTAGGTGGAAGTTTTCTTGTGTCCCGGCCGGCCAGTGGTCAGGACAAATCTCTCCCACTTGTGTCCCCCAAGTAAACACACAGAGGCTTATATTAATTATAACTGCTCAGCCATCAGCTCAGGCTTATTACTGACTAGCTCTTACACTTAAATTAACCCATAATTCTTATCTATGTTTAGCCACGTGACTTGGTACCTTTTCTCAGTTCTGCCTTATCATCTTGCTTCCTCTGTATCTGGCTGGCGACCCCTGACTCTGCTCTTCCTCTTCCCAGAATTCTCCTCTCTGCTTGTCCTGCCTATACTTCCTGCCTGGCTACTAGCCAATCAGCATTTTATTTATCACCCAATCAGAGAAACACACATTCACAGCATACAGAATGACATTCCACAGCACTTCCCCTTTTCTGTCTAATCAAAAAAGGACGTTTTTAACTTTAACGTAGTAAAATTACATATACTGGAACAGTTATCAAGCAAGAATTACAGTTACACAATCTAGTCTATATGTATTTGGCAAAATTAAAGAAAATATTCTATCTATCCTATATTTGTGAGTCTAAAGTTACATATATAATTTATCTTTTATCATAACCAAGGAAAATTATAACTATCTAGTCTTCAACTACATCAAAGACCTCAGAAGGATATAATATTTACCTAATTAAATAGGAAATGCATTGTGAGCAACTTCTAAAATTCTGGAAATGATAGAGACAGCTGCTTGCCTGGACAGTCATCCAAAGTTCCTCTGCAACATTGGGGCATCCATCTTTAGCCCATAGGTCTAGTCTCTCAGTCACTTTTTCCTGTGCCCTATAGAATGTTTGGCAGTCTCCTCTGCAAAGCAGGAACCTGAAGGACCATCTCATTTTGCAAAGTTCAGTTCATCTCATTTTGCAAAGCCATCTTCCTATGGGTCCTGCACATCCGGTTTATACAACATATTGTCATCAGTCGACATAAGGACACTTTTTTGCCCAGTGGCTAATTTTGCCGCAAAGAAAGACAACTCCATAATGAGTTTCTTCAATGCCCATTATCTTCTCTGAAGTAGATTGGTGCTGCCAGGAGCAGACATATCTCAATGTCCAGAAAGTCAAAATTCTTAAAACATTTTTTTATTATTTTTTTTACAGTATGTGGCCAAAGAGTAGAGAATGCTCTGTAGCAAATGGGGAAGAGAAACAAGCAACAGTCCTAAGTATACATGAGCAACATAAATATACACATGAAGAGTGGAAGTTAATACAGAAAATATTGAGCTCTAACAGGTGGGTGCTGTGTTTGTCAAGGATCACAGGTTCCACTAACTTTTCTCATAATCATCCATAACCCTACCCTGCCTCTTTTCCCCTTTGCCTTTCCCTGAAAAGTCTGTCTAGATTTTTTATTTTAACTGAAGCTACTGTGAATGGAGTTTTCCTCCCCACAGATCTGTTATTCGTACATAGAAAAGCTACTGAATTTCATGTTTATTTTGTGTCCTGTTTTTTTTTTTTCCTGGAAGTGTTTATTATGTGAAAGGTTTCTGGTGGGCTCTTTGGAGACTTTTAAATGTAGGATCATGTCATTTGCACATATGAATACTTTGACCCTTTTCTCCTCTCTGAATTTCTTCTTCTTGCCTATTGCTCTAAGACTTTGAGCACCGTATTTACTGAGTGGTGAAAGTGAGCACCGTTGTCACTATTGAATTCAGAAGAAATGCTTCCATGTCACCACTGAGTATTGACTCTGTGGACGTCTTTGTCAGTGAAGTCTATTTCTCTTAAAACATTTTAAATGCCATATTCTGTAGGTCTTTGAAGTGCTTGAAGATTACCTACCTAATTGAAATATATCTATGTATACCTAGAAAACTTAGATAACATGACTATAAGTTTGATTATCATAGATGACTAATTATTAATCTGTATTTCTCAACTATACACTACAATTTCAAATGAGTTGCACAAACAAAATATTCTAAACAAGAGTAGAAATATACATACAGTATAACAAAATTAACTTTAAATTTGTATCAGTAAATTAAACCTATAGCAATGTAAAACATTTTACACAAGTTGTTGCTCTTTAAAAGTAGATTCAATAATCTATCCTTTCATCCTATCATATCTATATCCTATCCCCCTTTTTTCTTTAGAAAGATGTTGACTATGACCAATAACAGTTTGCAACCAGTCTCTAAACAAAGACAAATATCCATAATCTGTTCTTTGGGAATATGGGCATAGTGTTCTAGGCTATTTCCTGCTGGTAGGTGGTGCTGGTAGTTTTATGGGGATCCTGAGAAAATTCAAGATAATGGTCAAGTCCTGGGGAGACTGGCTATAATCTTTGTTGATAGGTACCATCTGTTAAGGTTCAGGAGGTCTGGCTTGATCAAATCTGATCCATCTTAACCTAGAACAAATCCATAGCCTCTTGTTTCCTGTGGAAACAAAAGCAGAGACTCCTTTCCAAAGCAACATATCCTTAGATCCAAATTTTGAAGTCAAAATACCTTTAAATTACACATATTGGTTTAACTGAGCAGCCTTTACAGTCAAAAGTCTTTCTGCAGTTAAAAATCCCAAAGACAATATAATCCAGACTCTCTGTGTGATTTCCATCTTTACGTGGCTTATTTTTTATATTACTTTTACTTTCTCTTTAAAGACTTTATTTTTTAAAACTTTCTACTTCTTTATACAACTATCTATATTCCTTTTCCTCTCTCTTCCAAGCCTATGTACATTTTTACATACATTGTGATCTGTTTAAAGTCTTATTCCATCTGAATCTGCCTTATTGTGAATCTATAATCCTTCTCTGACCAGGAGAGATTTTAAACTGCTAAACTGCGTGGCTAGTACAAAGAGCAGCAGCCTTGGCTGCTGACTCCACCCATTTCAGCTTTTCAACTTGGGGGAGATAATTTACCTCTAGCTCTGGGCCATGTGTACCATCAACTCTCAGAAGCAGTGGGTCTATGCCTCCATTAAAGCAGCGTGTAGCCCAGAACCCCCCTCCCCATTTTTGTACTAGCAAAAGCTAAATCCACAACACAGCATACTGTGTGGCTTGGAGACACCTCTGTGTACCTCAGCAGGAACCCTCCATGCTGCAGGGCAAACCCAGGCACAGCTGCAAACCCACCATACTGTAGCTCATGGCTTGCCTGAGAGACACAACTAGGAAGCTGTTTTTAGCTCCATTTTTAGATTTTTTTTTTTAAGATTTGTCAGGTTTTAGGTGGAAACTCTTGCCCCATGTTGGGCACCAGAGAGAGAAAGGCAGAGAGAGGAGACTGCGAGTTGCCAGCCAGACACAGAGGAAGCAAGATGACAAGGCAGAACTGAGAAAAGGTATCAAGCCACATGGCTAAACATAGATAAGAATTATGGGTTAATTTAAGTGTAAGAGCTAGTCAGTAATAAGCCTGAGCTAATGGCCAAGCAGTTATAATTAATATAAGGCTCTGTGTGTTTACTTGGGGGATACAAGTGGGAGAGATTTGTCCTGATCACCGGCTGGCCAGGACGCAGGAAAACTTCTGACAACAGGGATCCAGTTGATCAGACCATTGTTTGGTAGTGAAAAATGAGCAAGGCTTGACATGTGGGAGTGGGAACATACAATGAGGCCCATGATACTGGCATGAAGCTAGTGGTGGCAGAGAAACATAAGTTGTTCAGCAACACCAATAGAAAGTACCTCATAGCCGGGACATGCCTTTAATCCCAGCAACCAGGAGGTAGAGGCAGGACAGCTAGGGCTACAAAGAGAAACCATGTATCAAAAAGAAAAAAGGAAGAAGAAAGAAAGAAAAGAAAGAGAGAGAAATAGAGAGAGAGAGAGAGAGAGAGAGAGAGAGAGAGAGAGAGAGAGAGAGAGAGAGAGAGAAAGAAAGAAAGTGCCTGAAGTTACATTGGTTTGTCTGAAATTGTTCTCCTCACCCACTCCAAACTCCCAGCTTTGGGGAACTCACTGCTACTTCTGCATACATGCACAAACATCTGCCTATCATTTATCACACACTTATGTACACATTAGCTTATATGTATATGTAGTCTCTCTCTTTCAAACACACATGCTCACATGCATATATATTTGACATAAAATTCCTGCCTTACAAACCTCTCCCATACATGAATCCACTCTCATATACACATCTCACACACTGTGTGCTCCCTCATGCACTTTTCTTACACTATACATGTGCACTCATATTCATGCATGTGTATGTATACCCATCCATGCACTAACACTCACGTGCTCAAACAATGCATATGTCCATACTCTACTCACTTCCATGTATTATCTCACACATGCATACATACAGTTCCCTCACAAAAACTCACAAACAATTATTTTACACACACATACACACACACTTTCACTGATACCTTCCTTTGTACATTGTTGCCAGACAGATTAAATACTTAGGTGTTATTTTTAAAATAAATCTCAAGCTTATGATTTTACCAATAAAGACTCTGGAGGAAGATGCTGGGGTGAAAACCTCCTAGCTCAGAGAGGCCAAGGAGTAACCAGCTGACCTTCCTCCTTAGCCAACATTCCAGAAAAGAGAACCTTTCTCCTCCATCATCCCAAACCCCCCCCAAAAAAAATAATAAATGTTTCTCTGTTTTCCTAACTCCCTCTTATTCTCTATGACTACTTTCTTCAACTAGTTTCTAGATCCACCTCTTGACCCATGGTTGATTTTATTTAATTAATGCAATCTCAGGGTTCATAGTGTGATCAAGTATCCCACAACACTTACATCTTCTGTGAAGTTTTCTCTGATTTACTGTTCTCTCACATTGTGCATTTTCCACTTCTACTATCCCATTATTCAGAGTGTAGTAGCTCCTCAGGTTCTTTGGATTCCATAATACACATACACCTAAGTCCCTTATATAAAATAATATAGTGTTCACATAGAACCTGTGCACATCCTCTAGTATATTTAAAACCATCCCAGTGCAATGCAGTTGTGTGTAGCATGAATCTTAAAAGGTCTTATTAATAAAATCAAACCCAGAGCCAGGTATTGGGGTGAATGCTGGAAGTTCAGAGAAGCAGAACAGGCCACAGCCACCTCACCTTGCCAATTCCTCAGCTGATCCTGTTTTCTCAGACTGGAAGCTTCTGAGTCCTCATCCAGATGGATCTCAGCTGAACTGCTACTCACAGCCTGAAAGCTTAACCAGCTAAAAGCTTCTAGTTTCTGTTCTCCACACCTTAAATACCTTTCTGTTTTCTGCCCTCACTTCCTGGGATTAAAGGCTTGTGTCACCATGCCTGGCTGTTTCCAATGTGGCCTTGAACTCACAGAGATCCATGCCTCCAGAAGGCTAGGATTAAAGGTGTGAGTGCCACCATTTTCTATCCTCTGTATCTAGTGGCTGTTCTGTTCTCTGACCCCAGATAAGTTTATTAGGGTCACACAATATTTTGGGGAACACAATACCACCACAGTTGTGACACTGTATTATTTAGAGAATAAGGACATGTAAAGCACATGCACATTTTCAGTTTAGGTGTGCTTTCCACAAATATCTTGGAACTAGTTTGGTTTGAACCTGAGGATGCTACTCACCATTGTACTAAGTACTTAGCTATATATTGTCCTTCTTGTTCACAAAACACCTAGTACATGGAGCAAGGTTATTTGTTTTTCCAGGTTCAGAGGCATTAAAGGCAGCTAGATATATGGGACTGTCTTAGATGGAGTGTGATGTCACAGTAGATGCTCATTACTAAGATGCTGGATGAGATTACAGTTCAAATGGTAAGACTGTTGGCATGCTCAGTGTGATATTTACTTTTAGAAAGAGATGTCAAAAATAGTGACAGAGGTAGTGTTTGCTTTTTGCTACACTGAAGAATGCTTTGCTCAAATAATTTCCAGTGGACTTAAAAACTGGGGTCCAATGGTTGAGAGAAAAGTAGACATGCACATTAGAGACTTTTAAGCCAAGGTAGAGGTCATAGTGAGAACAAGATGAGATAATTTAGGGAACGTCTAGAATGAGGCAAACAGGATGATGGGACAAAACCCTAGAACTGTGGATTGAAAGGGGACAAGCAGGGGAGATGGAAATAAACGCAGGTAAATAGGAGGAGAGAACTATCTTCCTGGCCTTGGAGGAGTGGGTGGAGTCATCCACTAGCCGCAGGTTGCAGGAAAAGTGAGGTTATTCCTGGGATTTCTACAGTTTTCTGGATAGCTACAGGACAGGAGGAGAAAGGATGGCAGAGTGTGATGAAAGGACATTCAAACTCTGTTGTTGAGTTTTCTTTTACTCTAGCCCCATGTTGAAACACCAAAATGTTATTAGTTGTTTTTTACTCTTTTGTGGTGCCCACCACCCAGCTCCCAAATAAATCACATGGAGGCTTACTGTTAATTATAAATGCCCAGCCTTAGCTTGGCTTGTTTCTTGCCAGCTTTTTTTTTTTTTTTGACTTTAAATTATCCCATCTACCTTTTGCCTCTGGGCTTTTTCCTTTTCTTACTTCCGTATATCTTACTTTCACTCTTACTCCATGGCTGGCTGTGTGGCTGGTCCCTGGTGTTTTCCTCTCCTTCTCTTGCTGCCCTTTTTTTTTTCCCTCCAAGATTTCTCCTATTTATTCTCTCTGCTTGCCAGTCCCGCCTATTCTTTCTCTTGTCTTGCTATTGGCTGTTCAGCTCTTTATTAGACCATCAGGTGTTTTAGACAGGCAGAGTAACATAGCTTCACAGAGTTAAACAAATGCAACATAAACGAACGCAACACATCTTTGCATCATTAAACACATGTTCCACAGCATGAACAAATATAACACACCTTAAAATAATATTCTACATCATTTCCCCCTTTTTGTCTAAATAAAAAGTTTTAACTTTAATGTAGTAAAACTGTCCACAACAAAAACAGTTATCAAGTAAGTGTTACATTTACAATATTCTGTCCATTTTTAGTTAGCATATTAAGAGAACATAATACGTTATCTATCCTATCTTAGTGAATCCAGAGTTTTACACCTAGTCTGCTTTCTACCATAACTAAGGAAAACTGCAACTATAACTATCTAGTCTTCAACTCCATCAAAGACCCAGAAGGTTGTAATATTACCTAACAACAGAGACATTTGGCTGCCTAGACAGTCAACCAAAGCTCCTCTGCAACTTTGGGGCATCCATATTCAGCCTACAGGCCCACAAGATCTGGCAAACTTGATAGTGAAGCAAGAAATTTGAAGGTCTGTCGTGCCTTGTATTGGCAAAGTTCATCAGTCACTTTTCTCTGTGTCCTGCAGAATATCTGGCAGACTCTTCTGTGAAGCAGGAACCCTGAAGGACCATCCCACCTTGTTTTGGCAAAGTTCAGCAGTCACTTTCCTGTGGATCCTGCATGTCCAGTCTGCACAGCACATTGTCATCAGTCAAAGGCAAGAACAGTGTCTTTGTCCAGTGGTTAACTTTGCCACAGTGAAAGCAAACTCCATAAGGAGTTTCTTCAGTGCCTATCATCTCTGAAGTAAATTAGTGCTGCCAGGAGCAGATGTGTCTCATTGTCATGAAAAGCCCTAAGTTAACAAAACATTTTAAATGTCATATTCTATAGGTCTTTAAAGTGTTTGAAAACTATTTGTCTATCTAAAATATATCTATATATGATCTTGAAAATATACCTAGCACATCTACAAATTTGATTGTTATAGATGACTAACTACTGACCTGTGTTTCTTGATTATTCTAAATAGTTCATAGTTTTCAAAAGCTAGAACTTTACCTTACATTTTTAAATGAACTGCATAGGTACAATACCTTAAACAAGAGTAGAAACATAAATACAATATGTTGTAACAAAAGTAACCTTAAACTTACATCAATACACAAAAATCCTTTAAGCAAGAATAAAAATGTATATACAGTGTGTTGCAACAAAAATTACCTTAAATTTGTATCATTATACAAAAGTCCTTACAAATACAAAATATTTGAAATAAGTAGTTTTTATTTTAGTTTATAGTAGATTCAATAATCGACCCTATTATTTAAAGTAGATTCAATAATCTACTCTTCTATCTTATCATTCCTATGTTAACCTAAATGATAACAAACATCCATAGCCCACCAAATAACCAAAAGCCTCCCACAACCCAACTCTTGTGAATGTGGGTGATATGTTCTCCAAACTGCTTCCTGATTGTCTGTGGGAAAAGCATCTTTAGGGATACCTGAGAAAATTTTGAGATAATGACCAAGTCCTGGAAAGACTAGCTATAACCTTTGTTGATAGATATTACCTGTCAATGTTCAGGAGGTCTCTCTTGATCAAACATGATCAATACCATTCTTGAAGGAATCCACAGCCTCTCGTCTCCTATGGGAACAAATCTCTAAAGAATTTTTGATTTCCATTTAACAAATACATTTTTTGAGTTCAATTTTAAAGTTAAGGCATTCTTAAAATATCTAGGCTGAATTATTTCAGCAGTCCTTTCAATCCCATGTCTCTCAGCAGCTGCTGCTTGCTTCTCAACAAGCAGAAAATTTAAAATCAACACAATAACATACAGGATCCAGACTCCCTGTGTATTTCCCATCTCTACGTGGTGGCTTATTCTTTTTCATTATTTTGCTTCTCTCTTTAAAGACTTTATTTTTAACTATTTTTTTCTCAGACTATACCCTTTTTCTTTTCTTTCTTATGCCTATGCACATTGCAAAACACACTTGAACCTGTTTAGAGCTTTTTTTCCCCACCTGGACCTCTTTTACTGCATATCTTTTAACCTTTTTTGACCACACAAGCAAACTTTAAACTGCTAAGCTACACCTGAATCTTCCGCATGGCTCTCTTGGCTGGCTCTGCCTGCTTCTGGGTTCCTGACAGCCAGGCTTAAATCTTGCAGCCCAATCGGAGGTTTGTGACTGAAAACTGCATTCAACCTTCCTAGCTGTGGAAGCCTGTACCTGTGCTGCCACAAGTGGTTTTTACTTATCATTTTTATTTAGCCACTGCTGGCTGAACAACAGTTCCTCTTTAAGGAGCTGTGTCCTTTTTCTTTTTCTTTTCAGCTTTCTCAGGCCCTAGAGATATTTGAGCCCCATGCTGGGCACCAAAATGTTGTTGGATTTTCTTTTACTCTAGCCCCAAGGTTGGAATGCCAAAATGTTGTTTGTTGTTTTTTTTACTCTTTTGGGGGGCCTGTCACCCAGCTCCCAAATAAATCATATATGGAAGCTTATTCTTACTTATAAATGCCCAACCTTAGCTTGGCTTGTTTCTTGCCAGCTTTTCTAACTTGAATTATACTGTTTACCATTTGCCTCTGGGCTTTTTCCTTTTCTTACTTCTGTATATTTTACTTTCACTCTTACTCTGTGGATTGCTGTGTAGATGGTGGCTGATCCTAGCATCCTCCTCTCCTTGTTCTTGCTGCTCCTTTTTTTCCCCTCTGAGATTTCTCCTATTTATTCTCTCTGCCTGCCAGCCCTGCCTCTCCTCTCTCTTGCCTCACTATTGGCCATTCAGCTCTTTATTAGACTATCAGGTGTTTTAGACAGGCAAAGTAACATAGCTTCACAGAGTTAAACAAATGTAACATAAAAGAATGCAACACATCTTTGTATCATTAAACAAATGTTCCACAGCACAAACGAATGTAACACATCTCAAACTAATATTCTACAAGAAAACACTGATGATTTGTGGAGGAGGGAGCAGAATGAGAATGACTATGGGTCCTATGAGGACATTTTCCTTCATGTCCTTTGAGTGTTCAAAGTACAATATTCCAGCACCATTCTCATCTTACAAAGAATGTTAAGAAGGCCCAGAGAGCAACAAGAAGTGACATTAGAACAGAATCCCAGGCCATGTAATGTCAGAGACTGGAGTTTTGAGTACCACATGCCATGCCTCTCAAAGGAAAAGAAATAAATTAATCCTAAACTAAAATCAAATTTCTATTATGGCTTTCATTAACCACACTTACCTAGAGACTAATCTAGAGACAGTCAAAGGTATGGTGAAAACAAAAACCACAAGCTTATGAGAACTCATGCCCATATTTCAGGGTATGGGAATAGTCTTTCATCTCAGTACTTTATTGTCACATAAATTATTAGTTTTGCCCTTTAAGTATGTTCATCCCTGATCAACACAGACCTCTGTCCAACACATTTAACTTTGTTCCCAGGCTGATGGAAGCTCCAGCTTGTAGCTATATATTTACTAGGAACATAGGACCCCTTAGATCTAAGGAACAAGACATACCCCCTCTTAAGTGCTTTGGACTTGCAACACACATTTTTTTTTCTCAATTTTAGCTCACGGAACAGAAGGAAGCTTGTAATTCAATATAAATGAGTAGGATTGGAGAAAGGGAGGCATAGAGGAAGGAAGAAACATAGAATATAGTATGTTTGGTCCACAGTTCCATAGGGAAATTTTTCCTTGTATTGCTCCTTACTTCTTTATTTTTCAATTAATTATTTTAGTTTATAAAATGATATATTTCATTATAACCACTTTTTGTGCATTTTCATATGTTTACGATATTGTATCTTGCTCTCATTGCATGCAACTGTCTCCACCATTCCTGCTCTTGCTCATTTGCTTTGTCTGCATTATACTCCTGCAGTCCTAGTCAGATCACACACACACACACACACACACACACACACACACACACACACACACACACACACACACACGAGGAGTAGACAGAGACAGATAGACACAGAGAAAGAGACAGATACCAGAAGGCACCACATACATTCTTCTGCTCCTCAGGTCTCAAGGATCTACGCCTACCTTATGACTTCCATAAAATGAAGATAGCAAGAAAGTATCATGTGTCAGACCTCAGTATATAGGAAAAAGGAGTCCCAGCAATTAGCACAAAGCAATGATGTGCAATATTCTCCCATAAAATGAACAGGGAGGTGGTCTTATAAATCCAACACAGGTCATGGACAAATGGGCATTACAGAGGGAATCAGAATAAACAGTGGGAGAGTTTACTTCTGAACTGATCAGGCCAGCACTTCAAGTCTATAGGGAGAAAACTGCATTCCCATGTCCCCAACAAAATCCAAGGACACAGATCAAAAGAGGAGGAGAACAGGAACTTCTGGGAGGCATGGGACTGCCTCTCATCAGTACACCCTAGTTGTCAGTGACTCCAAAGAATAACATATCCCCTTCCTTGAGCTAATAACTCAGGAAGAGGATGCTGTAGGGAGGGAAAATAGTGTTGCTGGGGCACATAGGCCCATGAACGGCAGGCAAGGAGAGAGTGCTTTGTTGTCAGAACATAATGTACAGGGGCAGTGGCAGTTAAGGTCATAGGAGAGGCTGAATATGCAGGTTACAAAATCAGAGTCAGCCTAGGCCCACACAGTGCTTGGTGGTGGCACAGAATCACAGGGTGTCGGGGGCCTGGTTGAGGTGATTTCTGCAAACCTCCCTTCTGCAAGGGACTAGACAGAATCCCGGGTACTGCAGGTACTAGAAGGTATGTGGGAAACAGAGTGAGGGATGGGCGAGAACATGGAGGGTCCCCATTGCCCCTTGTGTACTCTTTGGTCAACGCTGGACAATGCGTCACCATTTTCGATGTCCGCTGGGCCCTTTCATGGGTGGCAACTGCTGGGCCCGAGCCAGGCATATGTGACTGTTGGACCCATCTGTTGCAAGAGCACCTCCTAGCCCCACCTCTTGAGTTTGCATGATACTCCCAGGCCATCCATTCATCTGTGCCAGGGCAGCCTCAACCAAGGATGGATACTTGGCCCACCACAGGCAAGTGTGCCTGCTGGGCCAGCCTCAAGTATGTAAACTTGCTGAGGGGCCTCACACAGGGACAGGAAGATGCATATTCACCTGCTGGGTGCTCAGCCTTAGCCTGTATCGCCTACCACGCATGTCAGGCACCCCCCTCCCCACCCCACACACCCCACCCCACCCCCGTGCACGTATGCGCTTGCGTGCGCATACACAAACACACAACACACACACACACACACACACACACACACACACACACACACCCCTCATATATGTATACCAGCTGGGCCCACTTGCTGGGCCTTTCTCACGTATAGGTGCTGTTCCAGCCAATCAGTAAGCATGCTTGCTTGTGGGGGCAGACAGTAGCTAGGTGTTACTTTCCTCAAAAGAGAAAGAGGTTTCTGAGGGGTGGGTCTCGGAATAGGATTGTCTTGGTGGGTGACAAGAAATCAGCAGAAAGGGCTGAGATTGAGGGCTACAGGCTTGTGGAGAGCTCTGCATTCAACCAGAAAAATGGAACAGAAAGTGATTGGATGTGGTGGGATATCGGTGTCATCCTCCTGCCTCCTCTTTGCTCCAGCACAGCAAGTGCCAGGACACATGGCCACAGCCTGTGGAGTCCCGGTACCTGTTTCCATTGCCGTCATGAAATTGCTTCTTGGTGTCTTTACTGTCTGTGCACACCAGCATTTCAGGAGTCCTGCCCAGCCCAGCAAGGCCCCAGCCATGTCAAGCAAGGAACAGAAAGACATGGAGAGACGTGCCAAGCGCCCAAGGGTTGATCAGAATCTCCCATCAGATGACTTCCAGAACCCAGATGCAATCACCCCCGGTAACAACTGATAAGGGGCATATAGGGCTGGGCCTAACGGAGGGGACATTATACTACTCCTTGGCAGGTGGAGCACAGGAGTGGCCTGGTACTAACCAGGTCATTGCATGGGATTGCGTGGGTGGGGTGGAGATGGGAGATTCGGGTGCTGAGAGCTGATTCTCAAAGCATATTCTGGGTTTCTGTCCCCACCTGACGTTCTCACCCCGTGGCAGAGGTACAAGGCTCACAGAGGAGAGCCATTGTCCTGACCAATGTGCCTCTGACAAAGCCCATGGGTCACAGTGAATTTCCTTGAAAAGCTTGTACAAATACATGTACCTGCTGTCCCCAGACTCCGGCCGAGCTGAATTTCACCTGTGTGTGTGTGTGTGTGTGTGTGTGTGTGTGTGTGTGTGTGTGTGTGTGTGTGTGTTGGGGTGGGGGGCATGAGTTCCTGGAAGACTACTTTAAAACTGTTGTTGGCCATGGGCTCAACCAACCCTAGAGTGAAGCTGTTTCCCATGTAGGATGATGAGAACAGCACACTTCATTCGCAAAGGTTTTTTTTTTTTTTTCCTTTCTTCTCAATGCAGCAAACAATCCAGCAGTTGATACCAGTGAGATGGGCAGCTGTTCCTCAGGACCAGACGTGCAAGAGGCCAGGTGATGTCTTAAAGGAACTTTGGCCTGTTCCAGGAGGTAGTTTCAGTGTGGTTTTATGCAGGCATACAAAGAAATTTCTGCCCTTTGCTGGAAAATGGATCCAAACGGAGAGTTTGGTGTTAAGTGAAATAAGCCAGCACCAAAGAGACCACAGTCACCTGTTTTCTCTCATTTGATGATCCTAAATTATAAATAGGTCCATAAAATAATATAATCCGAATTCAGAAGAGAGGCTGGGAAGAGGCAGGCAATGCCCAATAGAGGGGAAGGTTTGAGGAGTAGAGGCCGACTCTGGAGGTTGAATATGGTCACATGGCATGAAAGTTGAAGAGACACTGGCTGGGTGATAGAGGAGGACTAGCAGGAGGGTACTGAGGAAGGATGAGAGGGAATATGGCTGGAGTGCACGACAGATGGGTGAGTACACCTTTATGAGGCGCCTTGCAGCTGTACCGTGGATGGGTTCCAGTAAACCTTTAGTATAAAATCCCCTACACTGCCACAACATAACACGGGAGTCACCGCTTGAGGAGAGGAGACACTTCCGTGGAGCTGCCTGCAGTTGGGCAGGGAGCGAACGCCAGGGATGCAGTTTTCATGTGTCATCCAACACCCAGCCAGAGGTTGGGGTCCTGGGGATACAGCTGACTTTGAGTCACCCATGCTCCAGTAAGTAACCCTTACCCATGTGCCCGTATGTATTCTGCAGTGAACTCATTGGTTCACTGTGAAAACGCGAATAAAGGAATAAAAGTAATGGCCCCAAACAGGAAAATCCAACTTTGCCTCACATAAGCGCTAGTCTCTCCAAAACCGAGCGCCTCACCTTTCCTTCGAAGCAAACTTGGGATGTTTGTCCTCAATTAAGGATTCTTGTGTGCATTTTCCATAGGGAGCCTGTTCAGAAGAGGATACCGGATGTCAAAGGTGTGTTTGAGCAGATGTTGCTAGTCCCAGAGCCCTCTTTCTGACCCTACAACTTAATATGTGGTGAGAACATGGTCACCCGCCAACAGGACTCTGTTACACTTCTGTCGCCCAGAGGATTTTTGGGGGTGGGGTGGGGTGGGGTGGGGGAGACAGTAAATTGCCATTTATCCTTCAGGGGGCACCTTTAGTTTAACTTTTAGCTGGCCTCTCTGAGCAGGGGGGTGTTGTAGCTGTCACTGAGGCCGTGGGGAGAGTTTCCTGCTTCCTGCATTGCTGAAGAGTGTTACTAGGGATGATGGGCAAGCAGATAAGTCTCTGCTTTTTATCTTTACTGCACGAGTGGCATGTCGCATTTCAACAGCTGTTTTTCACCTTCTGAATTAAGTCATTTTTTTTCTGGCTTTCCGAAGTTGCTCTCCTCCAGGAAGCCCTGCCAAAGGAGGGCATGGAAAACAGCCTTTAGGCCGTACACGTTTATGAGCCTGCCAGGGAATGCTGAAGGCAGCCACACTGTGGACAGGGAAGAAAAGTGTGATAGCATGCAAACATCATGCATGCCACACTAGCTTGTTTTCTGTCATCCACGGTAACCAAGTCAGTGTACCACACGCCCCTCAGGCCGAGACAGCTTTTATTCACTGGTGTAGGTGGCCCTAAAACAGCATTACTGGAGAGACACCGTCAGTTCTTAGCCAGTGTATAGAGTCAATTCATACAAGCAAGGATGTCTGACAGCATCGCTCTTTCTGGTACAGATGAACTGCTTGGGTTTTTGAGGTGTCCAGAAAATGGTTTGTCAGTGGCGGTCACTCGTCAAAGCTCGATGCCCCCACACCTGTATTCCTAGCACTTAGGAAGTGGAGGCAGGAGAATCAGGAACTGGAAGTCGTCCTCACTTACCTCTCAAGTTTGAGACCAGCCTGGGCTACACAAGACCCGGTCTAAAATTAAAAAATAAAAATACAACGAAGAGCAAAATGGACACCAGATCTGTAGATACTCCTATTACCGTGTAGGTGATGTGTCAGGGATGAAAGTGCGCCTCTTCCTCTGGGTATTTGATTTAAAGTGATACCATTTCCTTTCTCGACTAGGTGACGTTACTCGGTACCTTCTGGCAAAGAGGAAGCAGTTTGAAAAGGATATAAATGCCTCTTTGAGCAGCCTGAATGAAAGCCTCCAGAGTGTTTTCAAAACCCAACAGAAGTCAAGGTAAAGTTGTGACCCTCTGTCAACGAGACCTGTACAGCTTTTACTCTTCCTTCCAAAGTCACTCCTGCCTGCCATTGTGGTCCTGCACAGAGTGGAATCGCTAATGGGACCTACATAGCACTGCATTTTCTCTATGAGCTAGTCCTATTCATAGCTGGCGGGGACCCCCCCCCTCCCCCACTTTTACGCAGCTGAGATGTATTAGCTTCAAGACTGGCAAGAGACCGGTTTCCCCCCTGTCAGATAACAATACAGATAACTTCCTGTAAGGAAGGCCAGTCTTCTATGGTCTACGTTGTGCCCATGTCGGGGGCGGAGGTTCTGTGCCCTCTTCGTGTATCTAAGTCCCAGAGGATGAAGGGTATGTTGCCTTCACAACACAGACTTGGGCTCTCAGAATCTCTAGGTTACTCCATAAGGGAAAGGGAAGATGAGTCTAATTTTAAGCCAGAAATGCAATCTTGGGAAATGTATGCATCACAGCATCCTAGGTGTTCGAGAGGGAAGACAGGTGAAATGGCGGCGCGTCACTGGCAGCAAATTAGGACAACATTCTTCTGGGACGAGAGTCACATTGCTGCCTCTCAAGAGCCAATTTCATTCATGTCCCCTTTCTCTTTTGCTCCTAGCTCTTGTTTCAAAATGATGAGTGTGTGCGCCATTGCCTTACCCACACGCAGTGTGACAATGCTCAGTAATTGTTACTGTGTTTTACAGGCAGGAGCTTCACTCCATGCACTCCCAGATGTTTGAGTCTCTCTATCACAAGTGGCTGGACGAGGTGGGGAGAGCAAGGGAGCAAGAAGAACACCTTACTGTGAGTGTCTCTCTCTTAGCTTGGACTAGATCCACTGTGTCTGTTTCCAAAGTGTCAGGGCTTCAGTGCATCAAGTCGAGAGGGAAAGGGACAGGACAGGACATGAGCCTACGGAGACAAGGAGGGGGGTGGATGTGGCCTGGAGAGACTGGCCATCCTCTCTGGCTTGCTTCTTTTTCTGTGGAGGGGTGATGTGGTCATGGGTTAGGAGCCAGCATGGGGGGCTGGGGGAGGCTGAGCAGGCACTGCCTGGAGAGTGCAGGAGAAGGTATGGGCTTGTATGCTCAGAGGGAGGGGAGCCTTTGTGATCCACACAGTGCGGATGCCAAGTAGTGCGGGATGGGGTGGGGCTTGGGGGGGGGGGTCCCAGGTAGCCTTCTGACACAGTGATCAGGGAGGCAGAGTGAGAACAGTCAGTATGGACACCGAGTAGTGCGGTCTTTGAGGAATCTTTCATCCTGATGGAGGATAGAACTGTACTCCCAAAGGCGCTGACTTCCAAAGGTGGGGAAGCAGAACCTGGAATCTGAGGGAGATGGAGACAGATTCCAGTCTGGTGGTGAGGAGCATGTTCTCTGGACCCCATTGCTTGGGATGCAACCATAGTCCTGACACTTGCTCATTGTGAAAGCTCAGGAAAATAATTAACCTCCCTGCCTCAGTTTCCTAGGAGTAAAAGCCGACCTGTGAAGAATCCCTACCTTTCTAGACTTTGTGTATTGAGTGGTTTCATTTTGTGGCATGTTGCTATGGAACGTTTGACCGTGGGAGCTGATGCATGTTTGCTGTTCGTCTTCCCTGCCCTTCTTATTTGGTTGATAATGTAGTTGATGGAATGTCACAAGCTGGGGAATGACTGATTGATGAGGAAGGCTTTGGTCAAAAAAAAAAAAATTTTTTTTTTTTTTTTTGAAAAGAAGGGTTTCCTTGGAAGCTATTCTGTGTCCTCGTTGTATTAAAATAAATACTTTATGAAAACAAAGGAATGCTTTGTACTTAATTTTGGTGAGGTGAGAATCCACAGATTAGGTGGGTCTTGTGTTAATTTCAAAATGAATAATTATTTCATAGAATTTTTGCACAGGCTTGACAGACTATCTCACTCTGTGACTGGTCAGACCGTGTTATGTTGCTTTTGGCAGTGAAGGGCATGTCTTCAAACTTGTTCATGAATGTCAGAACACAAAACATCACGGGAAGCAGTTCCTGTAAGCAGCAGGGTTGGATGTTGAGCTTTACTGACATTTTGTCATTGATTTCCTCTATTTCAGCTTATAGCTCAGCAGCAGATGAAGATTTTACAGAAAGCTATAGAGGATCATGAAACCAGGATTGAAAACGCTAAAGATTTATGTGACACATTTTTGAAGGTCTGGTGGATTGCACTTGTTAACAGAACACACCCATTTATGTCACACCAGGTGTCTGTAAAAGCAGAAGACAGGTTGGCCCTTTCTCAGTTTGTGGGAGAAGTAATTAGTTTTGAAAACCGGGATCACATTCTCTTTGGATTATTTTCCCCACACATAGGAGAAATGCTAAGGTTTGTTTAACCTGGGAAACTGATGACAGTGTTGGGGACAGTGTTCTAGCACGGGAGCTGGTGACTGGAAATTTGCTTAGAAAGGAGCATACTGCATCGCGGTGATGAGCTATTAGTGACCTCTCGTGACATTTCGATGGAAATTGGCAAGTCTGGGGATCCTTCTGGTTTTCTTTGACTCGTTTGGATTGGACAGGTCGGTAAAACAAGCAATGGGCAAGGGTAGATTTTATTTTCTTTCATGTTGAGTGTTTTGTAGTCTTCCGACATCAGCATTGTTCTTGAGTATTGGTGGCCGTGTATTTCAAGAGCTCCCCAAGAGATGTGGGGAATGACAAAGCTGGCAGAGGATTAACCCTCTTTGAACTGAGAGCTGCGAGCTGGCAATCGTACCCTTGCCGAAGCTCTAGTTCCTAAGTGACCTCTATATATCCAGGAGTTGAAGCAGCCCTTCAGTGGGAATTCTTTTGGATGCTCTCATTTAAATACACTATGAAATAATCTCTCCTCATATCTGATTCAGATGCCTTAACTAACGTGCTCAGTGTGCCACAGTAAATTAAATGTTTTCAAGATGCTATCGAGAAGCTAGGCCTGTCTTTGCTGAGCAAGCATGAGTACCCCATTTAGTACCCTAGTGAATATCCCCAGCAGCCATGTGTCCTCCAGGCATGGCAACAGGTGCCTGTAACCCCAGAGTGGTGAGGGTAGAGAGAGACACAAGGACCCCTGGGGCTTGTGGGACCACCAGTACAGCCAAATTGGAAACCCCGTGTTTAGTGAGAGACCCTGCTTCAAAAAGTCATGTGGTGAGCGGTTCAGGAAGGCGCCGGCACATGGGAGCACACACATGTGTATGCGTGCAAACATGTACATGTGAAGGAAATCACTTTGAGTGTTTTTTATGACCTCTGGTCTCCACACTCAAGCACACATACAGGGACACCCTCCGGCACACACCCATGCACACAGAAAAGTAAAAATGAATTTTCAAGACCTTGGGGGCCATCTACATACATCCAGTCCTTTAGGAAGAGCTTAAGGAAAGGGAACATGCAGCTCTAATGCAGCTGAATACTGCTTGGGAACTGGTTGGAAGAACTGACCAGAAAGGCTTGATTCTAACTGTGAGTGCTCAATGTGAGCAGCACCACAGAGGGAGCCTTGTGACTGGGCCTCTCTGGCTTCCCAGGTGGTCCCTGCCCTTCTGCCCTGTGCTCTTCTGACTCCCTCACTCTCTTGATCTCCCTCTGCCTCTCCACTCAGGCTTCCCTCCTTTCCTAGTCCTTGGCTCTGGCTCTGAGGGACTATTGTCCTGAAACATGGCCTTTCCCTCTTCCAGATTTCCCAGAGGCCTTCCTTCTTAATTCTCTCTGCTTCCTGTGTCCTCTGCACAACACGCCCCCTCTCCCTCCCCCTCCGTCCCCCCCCCCCCCACAGCCTCTTGACAGCTTCACTGGCTGCCTGCTTCCCTCTGTCCATCTTGTCTTCCCTCCTCCCAGTGCACCAGCTTCCCCTGAAGTGGCTCCTATTCCGTGTCCATGCTTTGCTTCTGCTCTTTGCCCAGAAAGCTCCCTGTGCCTTGTCTTCTCTAAGGAAATCTTACGTTTTTACTGCTTGAAGTCACCATTTGTGTCCTTTTCAGCCGCGAGCCCAGCAAGCTCCCCTTCCATACCTGTTTTCAGCTAGTGTGCATGTCATCTGTTCCCAAGGTGCTCTGGGCCCTGGGAATAGGGCAGAGACTGAACAGGCATTTTGCAATTTCTGGACAGAGGGTGACACAGTTCTTTCTCCTCTGTGTCCACCACTGCAGTGTGCTTTGAGAGATCAGAGGGGTTTGAGTCCCTGCTTGAGCGTTTCTTAGATTGAAGGGTCATGGGATCGTACACTGTGTCTTCCTCTGAAAAATCACATTCCATGGACATAGTGAATGGCTCCCTCCTCTGGGAAACCTTGGGGGTCTCCAACGTGGGCCTGTGCCTTGTTTTCCATGTCTGCTCCGTGGGACCTTTTAACTGATCCTCCACCCATTTTCGGAGATAAGTGTCTTAGCTGTTGTTGTCCCACAATGGCACCACCTTAAAATGTGGCACTGGAGCTTTCTTTGGAGTGGCTATTTAGATGTGTGTGAAGTAGCCACTGTTCGTTCTTTGAATTCATAGCAAGCGTCCTTTGGATATGCAGAGTCGGTTCTTTTGAAATTAAATGAGGTGAGGTGTCAAGCCAAGCCAGGGCTTTGTGCTCAAGCAGAGTTTTGTTTGTTTGCTTGTTTGTTTTTTTCAGAAAGCCAAGGACTTGAGTGAACATCTCAAAGCTTTTATTGGTGGTGAAGAAAGTGAAGTGAAGAAAGAAATCTCCAAGGCGCAGGACAGAGTTATCATGGAAACTGTAAGTCGTGTGTCTGTAATGCCGTGAGCCTCGAGATGGCTTCCTACGGGCAGAGATGCAATAACAATTCCCTAATTCTCCATTTTCAAACAGCAAGAGCAAGATGTGTCTGTTGTTGAAACATACCTTCAATCCCTGGTCCTTGACCACTCTGAAGAAACCATCTGACGCTCACGTAGAGGACGCACAGGGAGCATTAGCCATGCTAAGAGGACGTTAGTAGCAGTCAGTGCAGCTCCTTTCTCTTTACTTCGCTTGTTAGAAATATGACTGAGACTCTGTTAACCATTAAGTGAACCCCCAACAGTTCTGTGAGTAGCAACAGTTAAGTGTGGATCCTCCAGCCCCTGACAGCAAGGGAGATACATTCTCCCCAGCAGTGGCAGTTACATTTTGCAAGAAAATGTCATTTGATTTTACGATTGGCTTCTTTGGTTCTCTGTCACTTGCCCAAAGTGAATGTTACCTTTCTTATTTCAGGAAGAAATAAATAACGGTGGGATCCATTTTTCTGTGCATGCTTTCATTTATTCAGGAGGTCACAGAGCCAATTCCATTGCAAATGGGCCTTTACAGGAAAACCAACCCGACATGTTCACTCAGACTTAACTGAGCACAACTCATGTTTTCCTGCCCAGATGTGCTAAACTGTTGACAGCATTCCCGCAGCAGCAGAGCCAGATCTTAACGTGTTGGGTGTGAGCTTGCAGTGGGGCTGTGGCATTTCCCAAAGACTCGTTTCTAGGCTGTATTCAACCCTGGTTAGAAGACACCTGCCCTCATCTTTGGTCACAAACATTTTATCATCGATGAATATCTGCATAAGCATTTACAGTTTCAGAATTTTAGATGGGTGTTTCCAGGAGCATTTTCTAGTGTTCTCTTTAGAGTTTAATTTTCATCAAGAAGTTCTGCTTGCTTGTGTGTGTTTGTCTAACCCTTGAGTTATTCTTTTCCCCTTGTCCTGTGCTCTGTTTTCTTTATGAGTCCTTAGAATGTGTGTTCAGTCCATTTGACGCATATTTTCATGGGTGTGTACTTGTAGAGACTTTGTGAGCTTATTCCAAGCGAGTGTCGGCTCCCATGAAGGCCAGAAGAGGGCCTCAGTTCCCCTGGGGCTTGAGTTACATGTGCTTGTGAGCTACCCAAGGTGGGTAGTGGCTAGCTGAATTTGAGTCTTCTGGAACAACAGCAGGTGTTCACAACTGCTGAGTCATCTGTTCAACACATTTGAAATTGCTTCACCTTTTACTTGGAGTTTGTGAGCTAAACTTATTCTTTGTGTAGATTACAGAAATGAATCTATGATAGAAAACAAAACCCTTCTGACAGGGAAGAGAGGAATGATGATCACTTTCCCCTGTGCTGTCCCTTTTCATGTGGCCCTGCCTACCACTGTTTTGTTTCAAATTTTCCTGATGGTTTCAGTTTTAATTGTCTTTTGAAGATGAGCCTGATGGATTTACAAAAACATTACGTTTGTGTGTGTGTGTGTGTGTGTGTGTGTGTGTGTGTGTGTGTGTGTGTGGAGAGAGAGAGAGAGAGAGAGAGAGAGAGAGAGAGAGAGAGAGAGAGAGAGAGAGAGAGAGGATGACACACTTGGTATCTTCTGTCACCCTTTTTTTCCAGACAGGATGTGAAATTTATTACTGAACATGATTTAGTAGGGTAGAGGAGAGCACCACAGTAGACTACCTCAGGAGTGCAGGGACCGCCAATGCCCAGGGGACCATGATTGGTGGTGTATTTAACCCCACAGCCATCAGGGATGAGTCGCTTCTCAGTGTCCATGTCTTTAGATCAATCTGCATTCAACTTAGCAAAGACCCACCTCTTTGAGATGTGGGTCTGGAGAGAGACAGATGGAAAAAAAAAAGAAACTCAGTGAGGATGACCAGGGCAAGAAAGTGGGAGGAAGGGGCTTAATAACACCACTTGCCTTCTGGCAGTCAGAGAGCTTTAAGTTGGCTTTCAACTTTCAACATAGGGCCTCCATCAGATGTTCCTTATTCTGAAGCGTGATTCAAGTGGACACGATGGCCTGGACAATGAGAACCCTGGCCGTGGTAACCTGAGGCACCACAAATACCTGTCTGGAGCCTAGACTGAGGACAACATTGAGATCAGAGACTTGAAAAGCCATCAGAAAATTGTCTCCCAGGTCCCTTAGGGTAGCCTATATAAGCAACAGGGTGAATTCACTCCAAAAGAGTGTGCTGTTAGCAACCATTGCACACTAAGCTCCCATGAGGAAAGGGACCTACCTGGTCAGCTTAGTTGGGCTGTGGATTTACTTTATCTTTTAAGGCACAGCCTCTCAGTGAACATGGAACTCACTGATTTGGTCAGGCTGAGTGGCCAGGAGCTTTGGAGATGGATCCACCAGTCTCTGTCTTCCACCCCAGACATGCTGGCTCTGGGGTTTAAGAGTATTACTGTGCTTGCATTTTCCATGGGTGCTCGTGGTCTGAACTCGGATCCTCATGTGCATGGCAAATACTTTATCCACTGAGCCATCATCCTTGCCCATCTTTAATTTTATGGTTGGTAACATTAGTGTTACAAATGAATGTCATTTATGGTGCCATTTCCTTCCACGTACATATGTGCACAGATGATACACAGCCTCACCATGTTTCTACCTTCTCCCACACTCTCAGATGCTGCATCTCACAGACCTTTTCACAGTCTATAATAGTCCTACTCTCTGGTCCATGGGTTTGATTTTTTTTTCCAGTTTTCATGTATGAAGTAAAAGAGAACATGTGACACTTGGCGTATTTCTCTTACTGTTAAGTAATGCCCTGTTACATTCATTTGCCTGTGGAGAACAGGCTTTCCTTTTCTTGTCCTCCATGTGAATGTGCCATGTAATGTATATATTATATAATATATACTGTATATAATATAGCATTTTCTTCATGCTGTCATGTGTTGATGGCCACCCAGGATACTTACTTGAGCTTGTACATGTCTCCTCTAACTAGAAGGCCATGTGTCTTGGTTAATCTGGGTTGTCAACTTGGCTGGACTGACAGATACCTAGAGTAAGATTAGGGAAGCTCACTTCTGGTGTGCCTGTTACAGCATCATTTTCAGAGAAGACTGAGTCACAGGAGAGTAATCCTGCATGTGGATACTCCATACAGTAGTCTGGGAGCCCAGGCAGAATTAAAGAAAAATAAGAGAAAGCCTGCCAGGGCAGCCTAGCTCCATCCTTCCCGAGCTAGTGCATGTAGCACTGTCACCATCGCCCATGGCCACCAGATTCCAGAGCCTCCAGCTGTCCAATGAAGACGCACAGCAGCTATGCTCCAGGGAGCTCCGAGGCCTGGATTGGGGCTGCAACATTTGTCCTCCTTGAGTTGAGGCTTTCAGCTTGTCCGTTTAGTTGATACTGAATTATCCCACTCTCCAGCATGCACAAAGTCATTTTTTGAACAACCCAGCCCCCAATTGGGTAAGACATTCAATGAATTCCACCTACCCCATGTACTTGCATGTGTGTGTGTGCATGTGTGGTGTGCGTGTGCGTGTGCGTGTGCGTGTGCGTGTGCGTGTGCGTGTGTGTGTGTGTGTGTGTGTGTGTGTGTGTGTGCATACATTTTCTATTGACTCTACCTGGAGAACCCTGACTTACACAAAGTTATGCATGTAGTTGCCAAGGTTTCAGAGACTGTCAGCTATGATTTCAATGTGCCAGGTGGTTTTTTTCTTCTGTATCCATAGTCTTGCTCATTCTAGAGAATCACACTACTGCAAACCTGTACCTCCAGCCCTTGGTCACCCTTTCATTGAGTAGGTTTTCCATCCTCAACAAGCAGCTCTTCTTTGGGTTGGTTTGCCATGGAGAGACATTTGATCCTATTAGTATTCCAGGGATCCCATCACTGCCCTCCATATTTGTTTGTTTCCCTTTATTGCTGTCTGAATGTAATATTCCTAAGAACTTATGTACAAGCTCTGATGTCCCTTCTCCCATTCTGTTCTCGCGGCTTTCCAATGAGATTTTAAAATTTGACTTACTCAGGCATTTTGGAACTGTTACTCACTTGTGTTTCTCCCTTTTCCTGAAATGCTGAAGAATCAACCCGGAGTGTCAGAATAGCTAGGCCGCCATTGTACCACTGAACTACATCCCTGGCTGAACTGTATATTTTGTTTCAAACCAGAGTTTATAGGTGAGGTTTTTTTTTTCTTTATCTTTCTTTTCTCATTCCTTTCCTCTTTTAAAAACCTCTTTCAAAAATAATCGTATAAAATATACCAATTATTGAATTTCACTGTGATAAGCTGTGATCATGCTCACTCACGCTTGTTTGTACCTTTACTTTCCTTCCCATCTCTCCCCCTCCATCAGGCTCCTTTTTCTTTCCCTAGAGGTCCCTGTTCATGGGGGTGGTGAGTTCTTCCCTTCCCATGTCAGGATGAGCTTGTGCTAGTGGCTCCACAAACTTAGATGGAAACAGCATATTATAGGAGGCAGAATGAAGGAGCAGCTAGGAAAACCCAGCCCTGTCTCCTCAGGCAGACTTCAAGGAGAACTGCCTAAATAGAAAGTGGGCTTTCAGTTTCCACTGTCCATTTCAACCTCAAAGACAGGACCACCTTAGATGGTGCATTACTGCTTATAAATTGTATTAAGATTTTAAATGAGAAGTACAAAAATGAGATGGTGATTAAAAACATTCTTCTGTATTCTGCTTGCTTGATTTTTCTATGCAATGTATTTCTTTTGGTAATGTCTCCTCATAGGGTAACTAAATTGAGCTGCGTTTCCTAGCGGTGAATGAATTTGACTTTTTATGTGGGTGCCAAATTACAGTTGCATTTTATTAAGCAGAATAAAATGTGCTTGCAACCGATCAATGTTCTGGCTGTGTTAAATTTAAATGTCTCAAGGCATTGGTCTTGTAATAGACAGCTGTGTTCAATGTGATAGGAAAAAAAAGTCCATCTTACATTGATGATAATGTATGAATTTACTGGATAGGGTTCACTATTCTCATGTACTGATATCATTGGTGGGACAAAGTAGAGAACAACAAAATATCGTCTACTTAATTCTCTGATGGTAGTGTATATATATCATCCTTATTGAATATATTCTTCAGAAAGAGAAAACAAAGGGAAATCTCTTCTTGGCAGGAACACAAACACTTGTGGAATATTTATAAAATGAGCAGAGTCATCATCTTGAGTTACATAGCTATTGGCGAGCCCAACGGACTCCAAATGGTTACTCCCCAACTCATGATCCCGTGGACAGGCCTGGGTAAACTCAGTCAGGGCTTCGGTGGAATATCTCAGTGGTTAAGAGCACTTGTTCTGTGAGTATGAGGTCCTGAGTTCAAAGCCCCAGCACCCATGTAGAAATACAGACATGGCTGCATGTGCCTGTAATTCCAGAGTGGGAGACAGGTGAATCCCAATAGGGCAGTGGCCAGGCAGCCTAAACAAAACATCTAGCTTTTGGTTCATTTGAAAGACCTTTCAAGGCAGTAAGTGGCAAAGCTGTGGAGAAAGCCATGTGATGTCCTCCTCTAGCCTCCGCATGCACACCAGACATGTATGCATAAATATACTACTGCATACACATATAAGAAAAGAAAACTTAGTGGGTCAGAGCACAGAAGGTCATGAAAGTGGGAATGGAATTTTTAGGGGGCTTCAGGGCTGACAGAAGATAGAGGGAGATAAAAGCAGGTTGGATGAGAGTAATCAGAACATGTCAGTAATTGTCAAACAAACAAACAAACAAACAAACAAAAACAAAAAAACAACCAAAAACCTAATTTAACAGACAATGATTCATCCTGAATTGTGCAGAGGTAAGATCTGTGAAGTGACTTGTCTCCCAGCTTGGGAGGAAGAAATACTGTTAAGACCACATAGTCTACTTCATTTTCCATTTCCCCTTAGAATATTTTAATTGCCATTTCCCCATCTTCCATCGATAGTGTTAGCAGAGAGGCAAGTCTGTTGTGCTTTGAAAGCATTTTATTCATATTGTGATGGAATACCACAGTGTTCATTGCTATCATTTGTAGGCAGAAAATTTAGACTATTCTCTTCAGATTATGATTTTGAATATGAAGTTAACCATGGATGCAGATTGTGGTGGACTGAATAAGATTGGCCATTATAGGCTCATATATTTGAATGCTTAGGGAGTGGCATTAATGGGAGTGGCCTTGTTGGAGTAGGTATGGCCCTGTTGGAGAAAGTGTATCACTGGTGGTGGGCTTTGGGGTTTCAAATGCTCAAGCCAGGCCTGGTGTCACTCTCTTCCTGCTGCCTGTAGAACTCTCAGCTCCTCCTCCAGCATGATGTCTGCCTGCATGCCACCATGCCCCCTGCCATGATGATAATGGACCGAACCTCTGAAACGGTAAGCCAGCTCCAATTAAATGCTTTCCTTTATAAGAGTTGCCGTGGTCATGGTGTCTCTTTGAAGCAATAACACCTAACTAAGACATAGATCAAGAGACAGACAGAAAAACTCTCTTAACATCAGGCTTAGCTTCTGAGGAATCCGTTGTGTCAGAGCCTGAAGTGGCAGGGCTTTATGCAGTGGTTCAGGAGGGAAGGTAGATGGTATGAGCTTAGAGGGCCAAGCAGGATGGTGGAAGTGGCCATTCTCTCTGGATTGCTTCTGTTCCGGGGAGAGATGCTAAGGTCATGGTTTAGGTGCTGGCATGTTGGTGGAGGCAGTAGGCAGAGCAGGTGCTGCCTGGAGGGTGGGATACAACATATGGGATTTTATCCTGAGAGGAGGCACTTCATGATCCTTGTGCTGACAAATTGCAAGCAGTGTCTGTGTGTGTGTGTGTGTGTGTGTGTGTGTGTGTGTGTGTGTGTGTGTGTGTGTGTGTGTGTTGGGGGGTTCCATATAGAGCCTATGGCAATGAGATCAGGAATGCAGAGTAAAAGCATTCAGAGTGGCTGCGGCAGAGCAGGTGGTGAGTTGGCTTTCAGGGGTTGAGGTTCAGAACAACCCAGTCCCAGAGCCATGGTGTTCATTAAAGGATGGGCAAATGATAAAAACATGTCAACATACTCCCTTATAGGAAGAGAAAGTCCATCAGATTTGGGGGAGTGATGAGTGGCTTGTCAAGTCTTCATGAGAAACCTTATACCCATACCCATACCCATACCTAATGCTGCAAAGTAGGAAACTTTCCCATTAGATGATTAGGAGTGGGGTAATTGTGCAGGGTATTTGTGTAGAAGTGGGTTTCTCAAATTTTGTAAATGTGGTTTTAAAGTCTGTTAAATGAGAAGACAT